ACCAAAAAGCGCCTACGCAAAGGAATGAGGGCAATGAAAGAGCGAGAGACCAAGAAGTGGCGGCTGACCCCAAACACACCCTTCCATGCCGACAAGCCTATTCTCACAATGCCAACGAACAAGAGTACTGCTCACAACAACATCCATAGCGGCTACTGCTCCATCCTCACAACTATCCGAGGCTGTCACAAGCGGACTGTGTCGGTCATCAATGCTGAGGGCAGACCTCACTCTCTGCAGCTACATGCGTGAAGGCGGCAGCAGAAGAATGGCCCAGACAATCCGCATCCTCAGTGATGACACAGACGTCTTGCGTCATCCTGTACTGGACACAAGGATGCGGTCATTTTGCCAAGATCATGATGGAAATGTGATGGTGATGCCCCTGGATACAATCAAAACTGTGAGCGTTAGCCCCAGAAATGCATCCACTCTCGGTGCCATGCGCTGTCAAGGCTGCGGATACGGTGTCGTACCCCTTTGGAAAAGAAAAACAGCAGCACCAAAAGCTCCTGGAGAATGATAAAACCAGGTCTAATCAAGTGCTTGAGAGCTTGCGCGACCCATGCATCAACTCAAAGCGACAGCAGAGCAGCTTCTTCTTCCCTCTCTACGGACAAGAAAAGTTGTACAAATGAATGATGCCACGTACTCGCCTCTACCGCAAGCAATAAGAACCACTGCACAAACTGAAGAAAACTGCTACCGCGACTGAACGTCACCGCTGCAGCTGCATGTGCTCCGAACTCACGCTCAGATGCTACGTGTGGAAGGCAGCAAACCAAACGTGACCCACCTGAAGCAAGCTCTACATATTACCAACTTTTGATGGAGGTATCAAAGAGGCTCCACCATCACACCGACCACTCAACAGCGCCACGTTGCTCTACACCAAAGCGCTCCTGATAGTAGTGAGTCTGCAGCATGCAGCGCAGAAGCAAGGCATGCAGCGGGGAAGCGGTTGCAGCTGCAACCCGGTACCAGGCCTTTTCAGTGGCACAGACTATTGCAAGTGCGAGGGGAGGGATCGCTGTTTTAGTCAGATTCACGAAAAATCAGATGACACCGAAGACAATTGAAGAGGAGCTAGTGTAAGATACGACAATGACAATGATGATGAGCGGATTGAGGAGTAATGAGGATGAGGAGTCACAGAGGGATGGTGACAACTACGTTTTATTTGTGTACGGTTTAAGGCTGTTGCTATTTTCTCGTTGATTTACATAAGAGTGTCTTAATGTTGACCGTTGACCTTTGTTTTGACCTGACCTTGACCCCATTATGCTAAATAATAAACTTCCCCCAGAAATGACTCGCCTGCCCCGAAAACCCCTAAAAAGAGGATTGCATGACACCTCTAGGTGCATCGAGATGCAACAAATTGTAAATTAGACCAAAAATGCAAATCGACGCGCGGCCATCTGAATTCCAAGAATCTCAAAACGACTGCACAGTAGCAACGCAAGCTAAATCGGAGGGTCTCTCCTAACTATATAGAACACATTTCATGAAAAAAGAAGTTCAAAGTAATTAACATTGCAGGGTCAACATTTTGGCAACTGGACTAATAGGGAAGCTCGTGTGTTCTACGTAATAGGCACGTGTGATCGTATAGTCTGACCAGGTTCGTTTGTACAACAGATACGTGTGCAATTGTACAGACAGTATAATTAATGCTATAACCATTGAATTGCTACGGTAACTTTATTCTTTAATGAACAACATCAACATAATAAACACATACAGTACATAGATCAGGAGTAAGATAATATAGAAAGAGTATGACACTCCAAAACACGAGAAATTCAACATTTGCTTGCCTAATTTTACCGATGATGGCTGGAGCTTCTAGAAGTCCTTGGGAATAGCGGCAGTTCGATTCATGTTTCTTTATCAGTCGGCATGTGACATCAAGGTGTGATGTCCTTCTATAGGTACTAAAATATCATAGTGTCGCCTTGTGTAAGTGATTACTTTCTCTTTCTCCTTTGTTGTGTCACACGCGCGACACGCGTGCGGCGTGTGCGGCTGGTGAGAGCAGGACCTGGTGTCCTTTGCTTGTTGCCTTGGCTGTTACTAAAATAACATATGACGTGGTCTCCTTACGTTTAATGACCCGTGTCGTTAAATTCTATACTAGGTTAAATAATTCTATATCTACGTCATTACAGAGTTCACAGAAAAAAGGATTATTTAATTAATTAGCAGTAATTAATAAATACTCGTCGTTATAAGGACACGTATAACGATAGTTTACTCCTATGTTAGAGCTTCACTCATATTCGTGCTGAAGCCCCGAGTCTGCGAACTTCTGCTGAGTAACAGCATCCATGTTGTCGCTCATCTCTACAGTGAAGTAGTTCTTCCAGTCACCGGCGACACCTACAGGACAACACATAGACGTGGTTAGCAACAACAGCAACAACAACAACAACAACAACAGCAGCAGCAGCAACAACAAGTAGCAGCTACGTTTCAAGGAAATAGAGAGAGAGAGAGAGAGAGAGAGAGAGAGCGGGAGAAGAGAGACAGCGAGAGCGACGGGACCATCAAGCAGAGCGACGCGAGAGCCAGAAGACAGACAGAGGGGACAGAGAAAGAGAGAAAGAGAGGCAGAGATAAAGAAGGGGACCAAAAAAGAGAGGTAGAGAGAGAGGGGGAGGGAGAGAGAGTGGGTGAGAGGGTAGAGGGGGAGAGACCGAAAGAAAGAGGAGGAAAAAGAGAAAAACAAAACAGGAAGCAGGACTGATTTGCATGCTATAGATCTGCCCGCCCCTAACGGCCAGTGATTCTTAAGTTTTTAGAGCGCCGACACCTAGGGAGGGCGGAAACCCACCGCTCAGCAGGTCGGCCGAAGCCCCGCAAGATTTGACAAAAACAAAATCGCACATTTTATCAATGTTTCAATTAATCCCTAAAATAAAACATATGCAGGTCGATACATTACAAGCTAATATCGGAAAAGCGTGCAAAGAAATAACAAAAAATAAAATATTCTAAATAAAAATAGGCACACAAAATGAAGTGCACACGTAATGCGGCAATCAGCGAATTGCATCTTAACTATCCGTTTGGCTTCTGTTTTGGCCGACGATCGAGAACCTGAGTGGCTCTTGCTTATTGGACTTTTCGCGCTTTTTGGCATTTTCACTGTCATGTTGTCACAACAAGCCTGCTCGCTTTTCTTCGTTTGATGTCGCACGCAGTTCGAAAAAGCAATGCTCGCAAAAAAAATACAAAAATGAATATACTATAACCATGTTTTTGTACAAAATTTAAAGATGGCGTTTCGGAGACCTCGCCGACCACGCATGGAGCGGGCTCACCGCGAAACACACTGGCGGAGACGATAGGGTAAAGAACATGACTCACCAGACAGATCATCAATTGCCTCAACCACGTCTAGTAGTTATCTTCTTTACTGATCGATGTGGAACAACAGGTTCGGAGAGTAAAGAGTCACCTTTTTCGGCGATGAATAGATGTCCCGCAGACCCTCGCCCCCCCCACCCCCCTCCACGGCGTGCGTGCCGACTGCCATGTGTCATATCTAGTGATAGTTAAGCCGCCCGTACGGTACGTCGTATCCTGGCTTGAATGGCTAGAGCGTAAGAATGTCGTAAGCAGTAACGCACGATAATCTTGTCATCTATCATCGCTACGCTCAAGAAGTTCTTGAACCCAAGGGAAGTATATGCGAACCGCTCTGATCTTGGCCATTTAGAATCTATCATCTGGTGAAAAACCAGGAGAGAGTTACATTATGTACGTCTACGACGTGTTGGCATCGTATTTTACTTTCCTTGTTTTCCCTAGCCAAGTTTATGCAATTATACTTGGATACGTCGTGCAAGTTGGTACGTGGTGCAAATGGTCCAAACACGTAACTTGATTGTTGACTAATTTATGTACGATGTAAGCAGCGGCATCTCTAATAACATACGCAGACCCTAACGATCACGGGTAACACACGAGTAGAAGGAACTCAGTATTACACAATAGACAATAATAATTGTCACGTCTGTAGTTTGCTATTAATAAACCCGACAGAGTACATTAGTTTGAACCGCAGTTAAATGTTCGCGTTACAGTTACTCTACGAACTGCAATCAGAATCAGAATCTAGCACGCACACAATCTGAGATATTTCAGATACGAATTACCTTTTTCATGTCTTCGTATTTCCCGAAAAGTACGTTTTCCCAGTGCCTGCGTTCCCAGAAATCTACTTGATGCTGCCAATATTCACCGTAATTACCTGTTAAAAGTTCATATCCTTGTTATCATGGTATTACCAGGAGAATATAAAAGGAATAATTACTAACTACTTATAATCATTTATTCTTGATATATATGTTATGTATATATATATATATATTCTTTTCTTTCTTTATTTGTTTAAATATGTATATGACGTGTGTGTAGTTTTTCACGCAGGCAGACACACACACGCGCACGCACGCACGCGTGCACTGTATGCAAGTAATTTTTTTACTATGAGGAAACACTGGAAGCTAACGATACAAAGCGTGTATACATTGTGACCATGACCTCGTGTAACAGGAGGATTAATGAATAACAACAACAACAACAACATGGTGCGTACATTTTCCTTGCATATAGTACTTGTAAAACTCAGGAAAGGTGCTGTTAGCGAAGTCGTTGTGAATTCCGAATGGCGATAAGTCAAATCCCTTGTAGAAGTGATAGAAGGAAACTGCCGTATCTTTAGGGTTCCTGCTAACGTATACAATCTGCAACATAAATGACATCGTTACTACAATTCGCCATCTTAAATACGTCTACTAACATGTTTTGAATCGTACACAGTTAACTGATTACATTATCAGATTATATGTTAGTCAACAACCTTATATCAACCAAAGTATCGTGATGAAAGTAAGCAATTCTTTTGTCCAGTATCATATCTCCCATCATCCTATCCTATCACATCAGTGTCAACTATACGTGCATAATTTAGCATGGGGAATATATGTTGTAATATATGAAATGCTAACATTTGACACTCGACTGATCAGATCATTGGTGACGTAATGATAGAAACTTTCATGATGACGTAATGATGACGTCATGATGATGTAATGATGACGTAATGATAGGAACATTCATGTGTTTTCATTGATAAACGATCGGGTCACCGTCCAACGATATCACTCTTCAATGAAATTTTAATTATAATATACTTTTGGAGTTTTGGTCCTTTCTACGATTTCGGTTGGAAGAAGTTGAAAATTCAGATGTCTTTTGAAGAGCCTTGGCGATGGTCTCGGTTACCGGTCTGCAGAGCCGTCAATTAACTTGTGTGTTATAACGCCGAGCAGGCGAATCAACACTGAGCGCCTTCCTCTGTCGCTTACTTATGCATAACGTCAACTCGTGCATTACTTATGCATTACGTCATAAACAGCTAATGGCTCATTGTCACATCTCCGAACCTGGTTTACCCGGGCAGCGGAATTATACCGAGCAACAAGGCACGCTAGCCTGGCTACTGATTATGCTAATTGGCTGATTGCGCTGATTGGCTGATTGGCTAATTGGCTGATTTGCTAATGCTTATTGGTGGGTTATGCTAAGCCGTGACATCATGGAACCGGTCTATACAAGGGGCGGCCTTGGTGGCCTATGGGGGCCGGCCTATAAGAAGGAGAGAGCAGAAGATTCGAAAAAGTCGGGTGTGGCACTGGCTAGTCGACACTGACCGACGAATAGAGTAACGACGAGATACCAGGGCTACATTTCTTATTGGCCGGCCCCCATAGGTTATTTCATATAGGTAAGCAAAGGAATACGCAGTTCTTTTGGTCAAACGGCACCAAATGTAGCCCTGGTATCTCGTCGTTACTCTATTCGTCGGTCAGTGATCGTAAACAGTGATGGTCGAAGAGGTTGTGTATATTATACATGATATAGACGTCCTGATTTGAATACATATGTTGCAACGTATAAGCTAGTGCGGGTCGACTAGCCAGTGCCACACCCGACTCTCTCGAATCTTCTGCTCTCTCCCTCTTATAGGCCGGCCCCCATAGGCCACCAAGGCTGCCCCTTGTATAGACCGGTTTCATGATGTCACGGCTTAGCGTAACCAGTAGCCAGGCTAGCGTGCCTTGTTGCTCGGTATAATTCCGCTGCCCGGGTAAAACAGGTTCGGAGATGTGACAATGAGCCATTAGCTGTTTATGACGCAGTAACCTATTTCGCGTGACGTAATGCATAAGTAATGCATGAGTGGACGTTATGCATGCGTAAGGCTCATAGGGTCTATGTCCCCCAGGGTACTGCCTGAACGTACCCTGGGTACGGTCCGGTATACCGGAACGTACCTTGGTCAGTATTTGATATGGTTAGGGTTAGGATTAGGGTTAGGGATAGGGTTCGGGTTCGGGTTAGGGTTAGGCGTAGGCGTAGCTAGGCGACTCCCTAGACTCGTTAGTGGAGTAGGCGAGGTACAGTCCGGCATATTAGATAGTACCAGGGTACGTTCTGGTATACCGCGGACCGTACCCAGGGTACGTTCCGGCAGTACCCCCGGGGGCATAGACCCTCTCAGCATAAGTAAGCGGCAGAGGAGGGCGCTCAGAGTTGATTCGCCCTGCTCGGCGTTATAACACACAAGTTACGTGACGGCTCTGCAGACCGGTTACCGAAGGATTTTGCTCCACATTTGATACTGTATTTGTGCTGCATAGATGTCAGAGACAATTCAGGGATGATAGAGTTGCCGCTACCTAGTTTATTCTCCGTGTTTATAAAAACAGCTTTCTTGTCCTGCGTACATGGAACGTTACATGGCCGAGTACGCACGAGCTGAAAATGCCGTGACGACGATGTGCTATGTCCCCGTCCCTACTTCGAAATGTGCGCTACAGTTGTTGGACGGGTGAATTCCTTAGTAAGGCTAAGTCACTCATGTCCTGAAATGTGATCATATATATATACTACCTTACTAAACATAACCAAAACGGGCGCACGCGCACCACACGCCGGCATTCACGCACAGAATACAACGGACAGGTTTTTGTCCGCGCACCCGCAAAGCGCACACACGACGAGCACACACACACCCTCACACCCTCACGCGGCACACACACACACACACACACACACACACACCACACACACATATAAAAAGATCTATCCGAACAAACTTGTTTTTAACAGAATAGTCAGTAGATAGAAAAAAATCGTTCAAAATGTGAAAAAAGTATGAAAATTTGGTAACTTGCGCATACTTTTGTATGCTCTTTGCATTTGAAGACAGGACTCAGCGATCCCACCCTACAACTGGCGCCATCCTTGAATTCAAAACAATGCCCGCCGTCATTTCTTATAAAATACGCCTATATCTCGGTTAATTAATCTTTCGTAAGCAGTCTTGATATTGACTGACAGACGTAATTTGGTTAGCTATTTCATACAACAACGTGATGCCATGTGATCAAAGGGCGTTTTCGGCCTAACCATCTTGATTTAAAAATGGCCGCCATAAAAATTACAAACTTAGCAATATTTCCGTTCACGGAAGATATATAGACGCTGAAAAATTTGCGACTGGCGCAGGTTAATACCCAGTCCGGCCAAGTCGACACGTGCCGTATCCAACACGCGCTTTGGAAATGATGGAAAAACACGCATTTTATCGTGGAGTTCTAAAGCCGCATTTTTCAACGTGCCGTTCGTCAGCTCAACACGCGACGTTGTACACAAGCAGTTCAATGACTCACGCGCGCGAGCACGGCAACGCACGCACTATAAACAGAGTAGCTATACGCCCGCCGAGACGCACGCACGGCACATAACAGAAGCTATATACGGCGCGGCTGAGCGACGCACTGGCACATAACAAGGTTACCTTATACGCCCGCGAGAACGCACGCCACGTCACGGATAACAGATAGCTATATACGCGCGCGAGCACGCACACCGCACATACAGGCTACCTACTACGCTACGCCCGCGAGACGCACGCACGCACATAACAAATAGCTATATAACGGCGCAGAACAACAACGCACATGAACAGGTACCTATAGGCGCCGGCCGCGGAGAAACGCACGCACATGAACAGCAAGCTATATACGCGTGCGAAGCAACGCACGACAACGCGCAGTAAAACAGATAGCTGAGTACGCCCGCGAGAACGCACAGCACATAACAGATAGCTGTACGGCATCCGCCAGAACGCACGCAACGCACATAACAGGTACGGTATACGCCCGCGAGAACGCAGTTTCACGCACAGTAAACAGATTAGCTATCTACGCGCGCGAAGCACGCACGCACATAACAGGTACTATACGCCCGCGAGAACGCAACGAACATAACAGAAATAGCTATATATCGCGCGCCGTCACGCACGCCACATAACAGGTTACCTAACGCCGCGAGAACGCACACCGGCACATAACAGAGTAGCTAATTACGCGCGCGAGCACGCAGCGCACCGATAAACAGGTTACCTATACGCCCGGCGAGAACGCACGCACGCAGCCCATAACAGATACCTATACGACCCGCCGAGTAAACGCACGCACATGAACAGAAGCTATTATATACGCGTGGCGAGCACGCACGCACATAACAGGTACCTATACGGCCTGCGAAAACGCGCGTCACATAACAGAAGCTATATACCACGCGAGCACGCACGCACATAACAGGTACCTATACGCCCGCGAGAGAAAAGGGCACGCACAGGTAGCATAAGGCTCCTATACGCGGGCGAGCACGCACGCACGACCGCGCATAAGCAGGTAGCTATACGCCCGCAGAGAACGCACGCACATAACAGATAGCTATATACGCGCGCAGAGCAGCACTCACATAACAGGTTACCTATATCGCCCACGAGAACGCACGCACGCAAAATAAGCAGATAGCTATATACGCGCGCGAGAAACGCACCGCACATAACAGGTACCTATACGCCCGCGAGAACGCCACTGACGCACATCACACAGATAGCTATATACGCGCGGCGAGCGACGGCACTCACATAACAGGTTACCTATACGCCCGCGCAGAAGCACCGCAAGGCTTAAATAAACAGATAGCAATATACGACGCCGAGCACAGCCCTCACCATTAACAGCGTACCATATACGCCGCGAGCACGCACGCACGCACATGTATACAGATAGCTATAGTACCGCGCGCGAGCACGCACTCACATAGACAGGTACCTATACGCTCCGCGAGAACGCACGCACGCAAATAACAGATAGCAATATAACGCGCCGCGAAGCACTTTCACTCACTATAACAGGTACCTATACCACCGCGCGAACGACGCACGCAAGATAAACAGATAGGAATATACGCGCCGCGAGCCACGCACTTCACATAACAGGTACCTATAGCCCGCGAGGAACGCGACGACGCAAATAACAGATGCAATATACGCGCGCGACGCACGCACTCACATAACAGGCTACCCTATCACGCCGCGAGAAACGCACGCACGCAAATAACAGATAGTCTATAATACGCGCGCGCCGAGCACGCACTACATAACAGATAGCTATATACGCCGCGCGAGCCACCGCACGAGCGCACCATAACAGATATCTATACGCCGCGAGAAACGCCAACGCACATAAGATACTATACTGTACATACAAGTATATATTGTGTTTGTGGGCGGTACATGTTACCGCACTGTAGTGACAATCTGCGCGACAGACTTGTGGACAATGCAGTCTGGAGACATTTTGTTTAACTTGAAAAATAGTGATGTATTTAGCTTGCCATGTCATGTTCTTGTGTAGCTGTATACTACACTTGATGTCTTGAATTATCTCTCTCTCCACACTGCGGCGATTGCAGTTGGCATTGTGTTATGTTATATTACTGAGAAAAACCGGTAAATTCAACATTTCACTGCATGTTTGTTTTGTATATGTTAGTCTATGTCATTGATCATTCTGAAGTATCAGAGCTAAAATGTGATGCGGCCATGCTTGAATTAACTATGGCCCGCTGTACTTATAATTGGAAGCTTGTGTGTCTTGTTTTAATATGAAAGAAACGTAATTACACCTGCGCCAGTCTGCAAATTTTCAGTCTCTATATCTTCGCTGAAAACGGAAATAATTGCTAATGTTTGTACAATTGTTTATGGTGGCCGATTTTGACATCCGATGAGAGTGGGTGGCCAAGAAAGGACGGTCGCAGACCTCATGGGCAATCACCCCGCCCTCTGTTGTATAAAATAGTGAAACCCGCATGACGTCTGTCAGTCAAGGGGTTTTCAAAGCGCCCTCGTACAAAGCCCCATTATTAACGCCGAGAGTATATGCTTATTTTTTAACGAAAATTGAGCCGCGGCCGTTTTTTGAAATGTCAAGATGCGGCTCGCCAAGTTGTAGTTGGGGATCGCGTGTATCCTGTCTTTAAAATGAAAGAGCAATACAAATAGTATTGCAAGAAGTGTTAACGCGATTTTCACAGGCTTTTTCGACGATGTTTGAACGATTCGGTTGATCGGTATCGGCCACCTACTAAGCTGCCTCACTAGAAGGCAGCAGAACCGAGTAAGCCAGTCTAGTATGTTAATATATTAGGAAGCAATGCGCACTGACTGCTTTTGCAATCTTACTCGGCGGGCCAATACGTGGCGGAAGTGGAAAGACAAAAGCCTTTCTTGAGAACTGTCCAACAATTTCAATTTGTATTAAAACACAAACGTAACAACATTGCCCCACACCTCGGAATAAACCATTGAAAAAAGTAGTTGTCCGAGTATCGCAAAGCGGCACCTGCGCATGCGTCGGCGCTGTAAACGGCTAATAACGTGGCCCGCCTCAGGCGCGCACTTGTTTCATAGTACCTGCGACGTTATCCAATGGAATTTCAACGATTTATCGATGTGATGCCACTTAATGTTCAAAATAATTAGTAGAGCAAATTAATGCCTTGCAAGCGATATTGTCTGTATTGCAAGGTCTCATTCGCGACTGCGTGCGTAACGCCATGCCGCACAACCCAGAACGTACAGCTTCGTTTCAACAGAAACACACGCCGTATTATCCTCGCTCCACTACGTTCGACGCAGTAGACCCTAGTGATGATGAATGATATGTCTACAGGTAGCAACATGGATGGGACAGGCAATCGAGCTACTGGCTCGTCCTCGAATGGGGACCGCGGACCTCGCGGATTCGCCAAGGTGGCAGGCAAGGGCAGCTCGGATGAGACTTATCCATCGGGCCCGATATGACGTGGAGTGGCCCCATCTCGTACGTAAAAATATGGCAGATGATCGTTAAGGACTGAAAGAACAATTGCGACAGAAGTGTCCCCGACTGGGAGGCGAGGGGACATGCGCCAAGGCTCTTCAAAACACATCTGAATTTTCAACTTCTTCCAAACCCAACATCGTAGAAGGCAACAAAACTCCAAAAAGAGTATATTATAATTAAAATTTCAATTGAGAACGCCTGACTATCGTCTGGGACCGGTGACCCGCGATCGCCTTATCACATGCAAAACACATGAATGTTCCTATCATTACGTCTCATTAAGCGTCACCAATAAGCGCGAGCAGTCGAGCATAAAAAGTTATGATTTCATATATTACAACCGCATATAATATTTTTCCCTGCTAATATGCGACTTACATTGTTAACACTGATGTGAATAGTAATAGGATCCGATCGGCAGATATGAACTGGACCAAAGAATTGCTTACTTTCATCACGATACTTTGGCTGATATAAGGTTGTTGACAAACATATAATCTGATAATGTAATCAGTTAACTGTGTACGATTCAAAACATGTTAGTAGACGTATTTAAGATGGCGAATTGTAGTAACGATGTCATTTATGTTGCAGATTGTATACGTTAGCAGGAATCCTAAAGATACGGCAGTTTCCTTCTATCACTTCCTCAAGGGATTTGACTTCTCGATGTTCGGAGTTCACAACGACTTCGCTAACAGCACCTTTCCTGAGTTTTACAAGTACTATATGCAGGGAAAATGTACGCATCATGTTGTTGTTGTTGTTGTTGTTGTTGTTGTTGTTGTTGTTGTTGTTGTGTTTGTTATTCATTAATGCTCATGTTATACGAGGTCATGATCACAATGTATACACGCTTTGTATCGTTAGCTTCCAGTGTTTCTTCGTAGTAAAACATTTACTTGCCTACAGTGCAGGCGTGCGTGCGTGCGTGCGTGAAAAACTACACACACGTCATATACATATTTAAACAAAAAAAGAAAGAAAAGAATATATATATACATATATATGTATCAAGAATAAATGATAATAAGTAATTAGTAATTATTCCTTTTATATTCTCCTGGTAATACCATGATAACAAGGATATAAACCTTTAACAGGTGATTACGGTGAATATTGGGCGCATCAAGTAGATTTCTGGGAACGCAGGCACTGGAAAAACATGCTTTTCGTGAAATACGAAGACATGAAAAAGGTAATTCGTATCTGAAATATCTCAGATTGTGTGCATGCTAGATTCTGATTCTGATTGCAGTTCGCAGAGTAACTGTAACGCAAACATTCAACTGTGGTTCAAACTAAAGTACTCGTTCGGATTTATTAAACCAAACTACAGACGTGACAATTATTATTGTCTATTGCATAAACTCGGCTAGGGAAAACAAGGAAAGTAAAATACGATGACAACACGTCGTAGACGTACAGAATGTAACTCTCTCCTGGTTTTAGGATCTAAAAGGCGAAATCAGACGTGTCGCAAACTTCCTTGGCAAGAATTTGAGCGAGGAGAAGATTGACAAGATAGTCGAAGCTACGACATTTAGCAGCATGAAGAGGAACAACACGGTTAACTACACTAGTATGAAAGCAGGCAGAACGCAGGATGCGACACCATTCATGCGAAAAGGTATATCTTACCGCCATCTTCTTTTACCGTACACTCGCTACATATAAGGATAACTAGACGTATGTGGGCAATGTAGTCTGCTGTTAGGCCAGTAGTTCTTAACCTGGGTTCGAGCGAACCCCAGGGGTTGGGTGAGCCAGTCTCAGGGGTTCGGCAGAGGTTCTCCGAAACGCATTACAATTTTGTACAAAAAATTGTTTTATATATATTTTGTATTTGTGAGCATCCGTTTTCAAAACTGGTGGACATCAAAACAAAGAAAAGGAGCAGGCTTGCATGCGAAAATGTTATGAGGGTATCCCTTGCCAAAACAAAGCCACGCATTTCTCAGATCGTCGCCCAAAAACAAGAACAAAATCGCATTAAGATGCAATTCTTCTGATTGTGCATTATCTGTGCACTTCATTTTGTGTGCAATTTTTATTAAAATTTTTATTTTTTGTCTATTCTTTGCACGCTTTCCAAATATATAGTGTATGCCCTTATGTAAATTTCGTGTCAAATGCTTGTTAAAAGTGAATTATCACTTGATTCTGCATTAGAATATGTACTAGATAAAAAAAAATGTGGGTGGCAATTTTTTCGAAACCCCTATCGGTCTGAAAATCGAAGTGTTGAAATATACATTATGTCATATCTTTGCAACCAGTTACGATAAAAACACGAATGGGGTGTCTATTCATACATCTTAATGCATAGGGAATCCAATTCTGCCATCTATAGGTCCGAAAAGTAAAGTAGAAACAAGATGGCTGCCACATACGAGCAAAAATGTTACCAGACGAAGTAAAATATGTTTCTATCAGCATGTTGAATAGCTATGCGTGCACAATTATGTGGACTTGTGTATTTGAAATGCAGAAGAAAGAAAAGACACCCCATTATTGTGTTAACATAATTAATTTGAATAGACAAACTCTTTATTTAGGTTATAGGAATACATCTATATGAGCATTGATCTTTATTCATCCTCATCCATGTCTATTACTACTAGTTCTGAGTTAGCTTGGTTCGTGCAGCTGAAGCCCACGCATCCGCATACTTCTGTGCATGGGATATTGTTATTCCGACAGCTACATCTTCCCGTGCATCTACGTTTGCATCCACACTTTACTAAGTTTATCACTGCTGCGGGAGCTGGAGGATTTATACATCTCACTGGCGCGTAATGGCTCCCAGTCGCATCAAACTTCCACCCATAATCGACAGGAGACGGGAGGCGTGGATGGCTTTCTCCAGCTTTTCGCCAAATCATTGCTATGTAATGTGCCCGTTGAATATGGAGTGTCAACGAGCCAGCCGTTAGAGGAAGACTCTCTCCCTCAGCTGCGCGATTCGAATACAAGAACCAACGAAGCTCGTTGAATTTGGTGTGTACTTCAGATCTATATAGCAGGCAGACAAATCGTTCCAACTGATCGCTTACCTGCTGAGTTAGATCTTGGTGGCCTAAGGATCCCAAGGCATCAAGTATGTCGTCATCACACGTCATGAATGTTTTGAAGCACCACTCTTTCGTTCTTCCAGCAAACCGCCCAGACATGTCCGTTCCGGTTAGAGCATGGAATCCTATTATAGCAGACGCACGTAGTTGTCCTAACTTTTTATACACTGGTCTAATCGCAATGCTTTTTTTCATGTTTCCCTTCCAGGTAAGAAAGCTTATAGCACTTGGTAAGCTTGGATACATTTGGACCATCAGCAGTAAGACATCAGTGTCTGGAGATGCAATGACAACCTCTGCATGTTTGTCTATTGAAAGGACATGCAGCAGGAGCAAGGTGTCCGCCTCTTCTTGACTGTGTGTGGCAAGGGTGCTCGGAACAGATATGATGCCCTTAGTTTCCATCCCTTATGTGACAAGGAATTTCTTTAATCGGTTCATTGTACTGTTGCTGTGATCTACACTCTTCGTAGCTAGGTAGGCTATAAGTTCTGCATTGGTGTTTATATTTGAGAGGAAGTTATTCAGAGAAATATTCTGGATTAACGTATTGTCCTTGACATGGTAATATGTTGACTTTCCTTTCGTTCTCTTTCTTCTCATTTGCTCTTTGAATGAGGTGTTAATGTACCTGTCAAATACCAATATCACCTCATCGTAATTACCTGCCATGTTGCTTAGCTGGTCAATAAATGCTTGTGCAAAGTCGTTGCATGTCTTAATTTGCTCGGTCTTCCGAATTGCGTTTACGAGAGCCATACCATCTATAATGATCACTTTACATGTTGATGCTGTGTCATCGCTTCCAGTTGGCATCTCTGTTGCTCCGTCTGGGATGTGTATCATATGTGATTCTTCTGCCTCTTGGTTCTCAAAGACAACATCCATCGCTGTTTCAACTGGTGAACCATCTTCTTGGGTGTCTTCGATCTTTGAGGCTGTGTCCACTTCATGGTTCTTAGCAAGATCTTCTTGGGTCTATTCTAGCTGTGGTGACGTGTCCATATCTTGGACACATAAACTATTACATGCATTAGTCACCACCTTTCTGCCCTCTGTCACTTCCATCGCTGCATTTGCCCTTTTGTATGTCCCGATCTTTCTTCTCTTCATTTTGGCCCACACCGGAAGGCGTCCCTCTGTCAGGCGTTCTGTGACGAATTCTTCGAACATGTGTTGTCCAATCTCATCACGTTCAATAATGTCTTTCGATACTTTCGCAGTCATAACTTCCTTGGTAAGCATGTTGTAAATTTCGTCCTCATCTTCAGTTGACATGAATGGGTCTCCATGTTCACGGAATACTTTCGTCAGTTTACCAGCATTTCTCGTCATTCTGGTTAGCTTCCCGCCTGTGATTTCATGGTGCTGTGTTCTTTTGTCATCGTTGTCAATGCCGCATTCTGTTGCAAACTCGTGAAGTATGTTCGACAGCTCTGGGGCTACCAGGAAGAACTTATCAAGCGCCTTCTCGTTTTGGGTTATTCCTACGATTTCACTAATCACTTTTAGTCTGCGGTTTTCCTGCTCAATCCCATGGTCTGGGGCTATTGAGGTGAACCCAGACACACCTTTCGTGACACAGAAGTTTCCCTTCATGAATTGTGCCCATAGGTCTGGATATTTCTTCTCAGTTTCCTGCATCGTTGAAATGTACAGGGGGATCAAGCGAGCATAGTTTTGATGATCATGAGTAAAGAAGCATTTTGTAAGAGACTATAAGCTCTCCATATGCAGTAGATCTTGCTGCCTGGTGCTTCGTAAAAATTGGAGGATGGTTTCAACCTGCTTCATGTAGTTTAGCACGGAGTGTTGCATCTTGTTCGCCTTGCCTTCGAAATCAGCCAGTTTCTTCATGATATCTGTGGACTCTGTGACAACATCACTTAGATCCTTCCGATTTACCACGCTTTGGCTGATGTCTCTGTGGTATGCCTCTCCAAGTTGATTTGACACTGATTGCAATTCCGATCTCTCTTCCGGTTCTGTTGTCAGGAAACTTTGAAAGTACAGATTGTACAGGGCAACCAGAGTGATCATGTGTGCATCCAAGGACCGATACAAGTGTTTCCCGTTTAGGATTTGGGTTACTGTTGTCGGTGAATACAGTCTAGCTTCTACCCAGGCCTGGTCAATTCCACTCCCCTCCACATATTTCCCCAATGCAGCCAACGCCCAGAAGACAACATGCAGCTCACCAGGCCGGAAAAGGAACTGCTTCATGATGTCTTCTCTCTCTAACCACAGTTTCATGGTCATATCATACAACTGCAAGTCAAGGGTCATCACAGTGATCGACCCGCTTCCCATTACATGTGTTGTAATGTCGTGTGCTTTTATGAGACCAGAGTAGAGGGTGTCGTATCCTGTTGGAGATAAGCGTATCAATAGTGGTACCAGTGCCACATTGGTCTTGTCGTTGAAAGAGGTCAACAAGGAATTGAAGGCTCCCCATGTCCCTGCAGCATTTGGTTTGACGTCAATTTGCTCTTCTTTGTTGAAGTTCAAGCATCCGATTAACCAGGCCACATCTGTCTTCTTGTTCAGGTCTCTCATAGAATTTTCTGTGCTAAGCTTGCATTTACGCTTCTGACTCATGAGTTCTGGCTTTTTGCATGTCAGAGACTTGCAGAGAACGGTGTCCTCTAACGTTTGAGCTTTAGTTGATCGGTCAATTTTGATTGGTGCTCATTTTTGCTCATATATGGCAGCCATCTTGTTTCTACTTTACGTTTCGGACCTATAGATGGCAGAATTGGATTCCCTATGCATTAAAATGTATGAATATACACCTCATTCGTGTTTTTATCGTAACTGGTTGCAAAGATATGACATAATGTATATTTCAACACTTCCGCGACGGCCATCTTGGATTTTATCGATTTTCAGACCGATAGGGGGTTCGAAAAAATTGTCACCCAATTTTTTTTATTTAGTACATACTGCAATGCAGAATCAAGTGATAATTTACTTTTAACAAGCATTTGACACGAAATTGTTTTTGACGACATAGGTACCTACACTAATAGTCTTGAATGTTGATGCAATACTATATGCAATATGTTTTATTTTTGGATTCATTAAAATTGATTTGCTTTTGTCAAATTTGAGGGGTTCGGCGAGTGAGCAGTAGGTTTCGTTAGGGTTCGGCGCCTCTAAAAAGGTTAAGAACCACTGGGTTAGGCGGTCAGTCTACAGATCAATCAGTCTGCTTCCTGTTTGTTTTTCTCTTTCGCCCTCTCTCTCGTTCGGTCTCTTCCCCTCTACCCTCTCACCCACTCTCTCTCCCTCCCCATCTCTCTCTACCCTCATACCCATCTTCTTTCTTCCTATCAGTGCCTGCCTTTATTGGTCCCCTTCTTTATTTCTGCCTCTCTGTCTCCTT